TCACCAGCTGCTCTCAAGCTGGGCTCCGGGCCTCTTTGGCACCCACGCCTCAGCATTTCTGGCCCCTGCCTAAACACTCAGTAGGGCTTACTCTGCTCTGGAAGCCTTTGATTCCACCGTGTGGACGGACTGGCTCTCTCCATCCAGCCTCCAGATGTCGCTGACCTAACAAGAGGTTCCTGATTTTGCCCACGGCGCAGCAGGGTGCATCCTGTAATGAAGGTTCGCTCAGGCATCCCCCAAGCGGCCCGCTGTGGTTCTCTGCTCGTGGGAACAGATGATGCTTTGGCTCCTGCTTTCCTCCTGTGGTCTTCCAGGTCCCCAACAACGGTAACATCTGAGACTTGCTGAATCGAGTTTATTGAGTCGATTTCCCTCCCCTGGGTGATGACTTTTAATTAACGACAAATTTCCTACAGACCAGCCAAAGGAGGAGGCACATTAACAGGAACTGCGTCCAGGAGAGCTTTTATTTGTACGGAACAGTTTTAAAAATACAGAATAAAATAGCTTTATCTCTACTATTATTCACAACATCTGGTCCAAATATTACATATTTTTAAAATACTTAAACGTTTAATGAAGCCATGTTAGAAAAACAATATGAAAATTCTTTTTTAAAAACTCCATAAAAGAATTACACATCTCAAAAAACAACCCCACCCCCAGATACCCTCGGTATGCAAAATAAAAATAAAAAACAAACAAAACCCCAGAAAGGTATATAGCCAAAGTCAGTCACAAAAACGCAAGGAAAATATAGGCATCCCCACTGCTTTAAGAACAGTCAGAAATTTATTAATGTGTCAAACAGAGGTTGTTACCAACGAACAAAAAAGGGTATTAACTTGAACTGTCAGTGAGACGGCGACACTGGTGAGGGTGCCCTAAGTGCCGGGAAACAAGCGCAGTGAGTCTAAGGACGCCGGGTGTTCCTTCTGCGGAGGATGACCAGGCACAGTCAAGAACAACCTAGAAGGGCAGGAATGTGTGTGAGGCTGCTGAAAAGGGGTGCCCAGCGCTAACGTGCTTTCCGCATCCACAGGGAGAAGCCGAATGTCTGTGACAACGGGCAGTCTTCTCAAGCTATTCAGGAGGTGACTGCAGGTGAAGTGGCGGGTGGGAAACGTCCTGTTGTCTGTGTCCAAATCATAAGGGGACAGAGCACAACACGTATGGCATGTGGAAACCCGGGGCCCTTCTCTGAGGCGCAGGGGGGCTCCCCTGAGAAGGGGCGCCCCCCAGAAGCCTCAGGCCCGTGTGCAGTGAGTGCACAGCCACGGTGCCCGGGGGGTGTGGCTGCGTGTGCACGTCCCAAGCACAGCGCCCACGCAACGTTGCCGCTCATTGCCAGGCAGGTTCTGGAATGAGGCTTCTGCCACAGCTCCTTATTCACCTTCTACCTGGTCTGGCCACTCTCGTGGCATCAGTATTCTGGATGATTATAGTTGCCAACCCATAAGTCTAAGTTGCCAGTACCAATCCTTCAGCAGGGCCGTGAATGAAAGAATTACTTTAGCTCATGGTGATAAAATACACGCATGGTTAAATAAAGTATACACACATACTAGAGATTCATCAATGGAGAAATTCTATTATCACATGACATTGTCATGAAAATTATATCATTCCCTCCCTGGAGAACTGACTATTATCCTGGGTAGAAATGTTACTTTACTATATGGAAATACTGCAGTATTCATGCATAAACCAAGTCGTCATCATGAAAGTCAGTATTCTACAGTATAAAGCAAATCCGGTGTGTGAATTTGTTACCATGAAAACGGGAAACCACCAGGACCCACGATGCCTCATTCCAACTGGCCTGGTTAAGCCACTTCTCTTACCTCCATCAATCACGAGAAACTACGACATCTGAAACCCTCTTAAGAAAGAGTCTGTATGAAAGAATCTAAGTTTAATTCCCTAATGAGACAAAGACTGGAGCCATTCCCCATTACTCTATGAACCACGTTAGATAGTTTTTATTAAAACCAGTGGTGGGCTCTCCCTTGCCACCCACCTCGATGGGACAGTATCTACTGTCCTTCTAAATAAATACTTTCTACTTCTTACATTGAGATGGCCAGGGTCAATGTAAAGACGATGGGTAGGTGTAGTCACTATGGAAACTAGAGGCTGAATGCCCTGTCCAAGAACACTTACATCCAAAACATTTAAAAACGTTCTATTGGCCAAAGTGTGGTGGATATGCGGCCCCAGAAATGCAGGCCAATAATGTAAATGCACATGACCCCTTCGTCCCTCAAAATCTCCCTTTCAGTGTGTGCTTGAACCTAAGGAGCAGACGAATACATTTCTCTTTTAATTACAGACTCATTCTGTAGCGTATTTGCCGGCAGGAGGACCACTTTCGATCATGGTTGTGTGTGCTGCACATGCAGGATCTGTTCATTATCAGGAGACTCCACTCACTCAAGTGAAAGTGAGTGCAGAAAGCACCAGACTCAATGGGACCTTTAGTTGGGCTGCCCTCTTTCCTCCCCACTTCCTGTCCCCTTCCCCCTGCCTTAGAGAATCTAAAGTTGGCCCCAACGAAACAAAAAGAGCAAAATCCATCATCTCTAACATTCGGTATGGATACAGGGCTTCCCTCCACATTTAAATGCTTGCAGAAGACATCCCCCAGACCAGCAGATTTGGAAGCTCCCAATAAAACCCGGCCCAAGGAGGGGTTTCAGAAGGGAGTGGGTTTCTGGATGTTTGAAGCACATATCCTAAGTGTCACTCACTAGGAGGGAAGATGCCCCATCAGGTTACGCTGAAAGTTAAATTACCCAATGGTTCAGATGCTTTTATTTGATATTTGGTCCTTCTGCTCACCTAGAGAACTAGAATACTGCAAATCTCTGGCCTGTTTAACAGTTTCCCCACTATTTAGAGCAGAGAAATTAGAGATGCTGAGCAAAAACACAAACAGAAGGAAACTGAGAGCAACTCAGTGCAGGACGGCTGTCGGCATTGAGTGTTAGTTAACCAAGTTAAAGAGATGAAAACCATTGACCAGTGTGCTTCTACAGTTAACTATGCACCAGATACACTTTTAAAAAACATACAAAATTAAATGTAATTTAGAATCTCATTTTTTTGTTTTTTTTGTTTTTTACTTAATCTGCAATAAGATCTTGGCAAAACGGTACAGTGGCTCTGAACTATTCTTGCCAGAATACGCCTTGAAGCCCCAAACTTCCCAGGAATCGAGGAGGCTATAGTGGTACAACAATGCTGCCAAAGACATCAGAACGAGGTGGAGGAGAGCCAGCTATGGGGGCAGGAAACGGGCCCTGTGGACACAGAGCTGCTGAGAACCATGCCCTGCTGTCAGAGTCAAGAACACCCATTGGCTGTCTAAGGCTCAACCAGGTTAACAAACGACCTAGGAAGCACAACCTCACGCAGCGAGGTTGCTACCTTGTGTTTCAGGGTTTCCTTTGGCTGAAAATTTTCAAACCAAATTCCACAGAAGTAACTTTTCCAGAAAAGATTTAGTGTTATTAATGAGAAATCAACAGAAGGGGCCCTGCCTACTGCTTTTCTTACCATCTTCTGCAATAACTTAAAACAAGAAAGGCAGCATTTAGCCAGTCTAATTTCCGCCCCCCCTGCAAAATCAAAATCCAGTGGACATTCCACATGGTAACTCACAGAAAGTCTCCTTAAGCCTAACTGCCAGAAATGACTTGCAACAGAACTACAGGGATGAATTTACCAGGATGTCCAACCATTCAATATGGCGGCTCTGTTGATTACCTGCCTCAGCTTCCCTTCTTCACAAAACAAATTCACGTGTAACTTAACCCACGGTTTCTGGGCTCTGGTCCAGTAGTCAGTTTTGATAAATAGATTAGGCATTACAGTATTTACACTTTCATGGTATCAAGCAATACAAAACACAACCACAATAATGGTTACTGGCCTTCAAAAGCCTTGACGACAAGCTTCCCTGATGGTATCCACAGCTTTATAAATGCTGGTTCTTTTCTTAATGGGAAGTGAGGGGTGGGGGACAAGTAACAGGGATGCAAGGAAAGAGGGTCACATGGAAAAACACTGATTTCAAAAACCTGTTATAGTCAATAACATTAAATAGGAATAAAATCTGGTAATTTATAGATACGCGCAACAAGAACTGACATCCACATGACGGCAGAGTCAAGACTCCCATAAACATCTGCTTAGTGCCCCTGTGTGGCACTCTATACCCATCACACCAGCCTGGAGTGATAAAATGTCAGATAGAGTGTCTCAATTATAGTGAAAAAGAGGCCAGTATGAAATGTGCTGGCCCATCCCGGGCCAGGGTGGCACCAAGAAAGAGCAGTTGAGAATCAGATATTGACTTCAAGGTCCTTTCCTTTCCCCTCCAATCCCCCAAACAGATTTCAATTCTAATTAACACCTGTACAGACCTTACCCACACACAGATATGGGTATAAGGTAACCATGTTGACTGTTTTCAATCAGGTCAATAGTTTCCTGCTACAGGAGCATCAGGGGACACAGAATCACATTTGACCAGTCAGATGTGACAATGCGAGGATACTGGTGCCCCTTGAGCAGAGGGGGTCTATGCGGGTGCAGGCTGAGGTCAAATAAAATAGAAGCGGGTCCAGGTGCTTCTGGAACAGAAAGCCCCTGCACCCCAGAGGCAGCTTGTAGGAAAGCTAGCCCAGGGTGGTAGAAGGAGACCGAAACCAAGGAACCGCTGTGGATTTAAACACCCACTCCCACAGGAGGACAGGAACTTCAAGTTCAATGGACGCTCTCAAAGGCAAGGGGTAGGGCTTAAATAAGGAGACAGGTGAGACACAATATTAGACACGATCACCACCCACAACAAAAACAGCTATTTGTAATCGTCTTAGCTCTGGGTGCAGAATGTAAATGCAGATATACAAACATACAGGTTACTGCTTGTTACTCAGCAAGGAACTACAGATTCATGCCTCACTGCGGCCGGGCCACAGGGTGAGCTACAGCTATACCGTGGCCTGCGAGTCCTCGTCTGAACTCCGGCTGGTGGCATTCTTCCTGAGGCCTTTCCACGTGTAGCCCGCAAAGGTTGGGCTGATGGGTAAGTAGCCGAAGCATCTGTATTTTTTAATAATGTTCATGCCGAACGGCAGATCGTAGGATTCCATGCCATCGAGCGACTTGCTCCCTTTGCCCACGCCCTTCTTCCACTTCCGGATTCCTCTTTCCTCCGGAGTACCTGTGGAACACCCCCCCCCACACAAAACAATACAATGGAATGTTTAGTTTGACAGTTCCACCAAGAGTTGAGATCCTCCGACATGCTGTCCCATACATGGAACCTGCCAGGACGACAGCAAAGATCCCTTGAGGAGCAGTTGATGGCACTCAGCCATCCAGGTACCTAAACCAGAAACCTAAGAACCACTAGCCCATCCTTGTTCCTTTTGCTCCACAAACATCCCGATGTCTTTGCCTCCTCACTGCCCTCCCACGTGGCCCATATTCTCGATTCCCATTGTTGAGGTCAGTCCCACACCACGTTATTGCTTTCTTGGGTCATTTTAACAATCTCCTAACTGGTTGTCTGGTCTTCCATCTCACCATCTCTTTCCCCAAATCTGTTCTCAAAAACCAACACAAGAACTTCTAAAATGCAAAATATGATCTTGCAGAATAGGACGCGGTCTTTATTATATCACATATAATGTCTTCATAAACTGGTCAGGGCAAACCACCCCCCATCCACACATGCCAAGGTTTATCCTGCTTTGCTCCATCTGTGTGGGGTGGGGGAGGGGGAGGGAGGGAGAGGCACTTTTGCCATGTACTCCCCACTTGTCATGGATGAACATGTGAGGATGAACTTCCACGTTGTAGCCTGACAAATGAGTCAGGGAGAAAGATCTGGGCCCACAGGGCTCAGAAGCTCCTGAGCCCTTGACTTTTTCCTGTAAATCTTTCTGGTGCAGAGAGGCACAATGGCACCTGCCCTTGGCTACATGGGATACCTAACAACATACTATCTCTGCCCAAACCCAGATGAGGAGCTTAAGTATGTGGTGCAGGATGAGGAACACCGTTGTTTTCTTACATTTAAGCAAGGCCCTCCCGTCCATGTTGCTGTAACAAAGTGAACTTTAATTTCCACCTGTCAGACTCCTGTGCCTCTCGCTCAATTAGTTCTGAGAGAGTTAGTGACTGACCCCCATCAATCTAACACCTTCCACCTATTCATGCATGTGATTCCTTTTGCCTCATTTGCAGCAACCTCTTGATTGAGGCTTTTTGGAGTGTGCTGTTTTTAGGGGAGAAATCTCAACAAAACCTTCAAGTTCAAGAATAAGCCTCACCCTTCCTTGATGGAAGGTACATCAATCAGTGTGTCCGTGGTGGCACTTTCCAATGGTACCAGCAGCCTCCTCTAGGAAGCTGGGAAGGCTGTGAGGCAGGGCCCAGAATGCACCCAGCTGAGAAACAAGGGCTACGGGTGTGGGGGAGACAGCTGCCTCCATCCACCTCTCAGTCACTGGTCCTGGAAAGATCCTGTGCCTACCATACTGTCTTTTGGTCCTAGGTAGCTGGGAGCCTGCCTCAGAAAGGAGGAGGAGACACACTGCAGGCTGTTAACAGCCGGCTCAGAAGAGTGTGTGAACAAGATGACAAAAGCCACCGTGGGCACTGAGCGAGGCTGTGCAAGGAGGGCTGGTGGCTTGGACAGTGCCCCAGACATCCCACCACCCTGCACCATGGGCAAGAAGCTTACCTGCTTTCTCTCAACTCAGCAAGGAAAAAAAACCCCACTAGGTTTATCAGCAAAAAACTGATTCATAAAAGGAGGCTGGAGGCATCATCTTAACCGCTTTAGAAAAGACAGTTTGAACCAGTGAGGGCTCTGAACTGATTCACTCTTCCTGCTTCTGTATTTACTTTGCAAAACAAGTAATTCACATACGCAATAAGCATGTTTGGTGTATACCACATACCTGGGATGGTGTTATCCAAAATAAAGGCCACGCAGCCTCCTACAAACATAGCAGTTGTGAGAAGAACGTTCAACACCTGATCGATCCCCGTTATGCCTGGAGACAGAACACAGTGGGAGGGTCACTGCCACAGCCAGGACAGCTAGAAGGAGCACTGGGGTGGGGACTAATCACCAGCCAATGTGATGCATGAAGGTGAAAATTTCTGTTGTATATGAGCAGATAAATTTTTTGCTAGTAACATTTTCAACTATTATAAGTAATTTCCATAATAATCAAAAGGTGATCTCCATGAGGAGAATTCCCAACGATGGACCGTAGAAGATAAATCTAAGAATGAAGCTTACCCGATAATGAACTAGGAAGCCACTGGGGCGTGGTGTTTGCAGATTGAGAAAAAAAATTAATATAAAAGATAGCCGTTGCAAGGCTGAAAAAACTACAAACAGAACAAGACAACAAGAATATCTGTGGTGTTCACAACCAGATAAAGGGTTTCAGAATCCTGGATCACTGATGTGTGCTTTAGCTCCTTTTAATTAGGAGCAACTGAATTTCTATAAGTGAACTCCTATAAATGTGATATATTAAAATGTGAAAAGCAGCAAGAATCTCCTCGTTATCAGAAGCTCACACACTTCCTAGATTTAAAGTATAAAAATCCTCAACAGAAAATAACAAGCGTTGGCAAGAGTGTGGAGAAACAGAAACCCCTGAGCTCAGGTGGTGGGAATCAGTTTGGCAGTTCCTCCCAGAGTGAAAAATCTAGAACTTCCCTATGACAAGGCAATTCTACCCCAAAGAAACAGAGAGCAGGTACTCAAATCCAGCTGATCCTCATGATTAGCAGATTCTGTATCTGAATTTACCTAAACACTAAAAACTTATCTGCAAACCCAAAATGAATCCTCCTGGCCTTCACAGTCATTCACAAAGCAGCAGAAACTTTAAGTTGCCAACAACATGCATGTTCCTGGCTGAGGCTGAGGTCAATCAAGGTAACGCTCTGCCTTCTTGTTTCACCTCTGTTCTTCTCAAGTGTGTGTGTGGCGGTCTGTTTAATACCGCCTCTTCCCCATTTTTGTGTTTTTGGTCGGTGATTTAGTTGTTTAAAATGGCCCCCAAGTGTCATGCAGAAGCGCGGTCTACTGTTCCTAAGGGCAAGAAAGCCGTGCTGAGCCTCAGGGAGAAAACACATGTATTGGGTGAGTTACACTGCTCTTGGCTGTTGCTCCCCTAGAAGGGACGGTTCAGAATTTGCTAATTCCGTGTTCACAGTGACCTTACAGAGCAGAACTACCATGGGTGAGGACTGACTGTACTTGTATGCCAATGTTCACAACAGCACTATTCACAACTGTCAAAGGGTAGCAACAACCCAAATGTCCACTGTTGGACAAATGGATAAACAGATTATGGTGTGTGTGTGTGCGCGTGTGTGTGCGTGCACGCGCACACACACACACAATGGAATACTATTAGCCATGAAAAAGAATAAAATAGTTATATACAAATCTCAAAAACATGCTAAGTGAAAGAAGCCAGAGATCACATATGATTTCATTTATGTGAAATATCCAGAACAGGTAAATCCACAGAAACAGAAAGCAAATTGGTGGTTGTCAGGGGCTGGGAGAAGGGGGATAAAAGGAATTAACTGCTTAATGGATACGGAATTTTATTTTGGGGTGAGGAGACAGTTTTGGAAACTAAATAGAGGTGGTGGTTATACAACATTGTAAATGTACTAAAACAGCACTGAACTGTTCACTTTAAAATAGTTCATTTTAAGGGTGCCTGGGTGGCTTCGGTCGGCTGAGTGTCCGACTTCGACTTAGGTCATGATCTCACAGCTCATGAGTTCGAGCT